TTATAAACTGTGTAAACTGAATAAACATATGGAAAATTTCAAATTTGCTTCATATCACCATGGAAAACCTATTGTTTTCGAAATTTCAAAAGCAAAACTACTTACTAAGCGATGCATCCTAATGCTGTGAACAGACCATCGTTAAGGCAACTACATGAATTCTTTAAATCTACTAACATATTCAATAATTGCTAGTTAGTTTGAACTGTCCTCTCTGGTACAACAATAAACCAATCTTACGGAAACGATGATGATGACTGAGATATACCATCATTAGTCTATAGATTATATGAAGTGATTAACAATAGCAGAAAGAGTTGCAGCTCTCTAGGAAATAATTAAACCAATATAAGAACGATAACAAACAAGAGTATATAAAGACGAAAGGAACAGTGAAATATTTCTTTCCGATTAGTCCTAGTCATGGTTAACTACCAAGCCTGCTGCATATGCACATCGCTGCTTTTTAGGCAACACAAGGATTCTCACTGTAGACAACAGTAATCACCCCTGCCCCAATCGGGAACATACATGTTGTCCAGTTTGGTCTGCAGACAGGTGGACGTCCAGAAAGCATGCACAGGAACAGTGGCCCCCGCTCGGGCACTTATGAATCAACAAGATCCCTCCAACCAGTTCACTACCCATAAACCCCAATCGGCAAGGGCGGCAAGGCGGGCTTACCCAGCTGGACCTGGCACCCCGAAGCGGATTACCGAGCCACCCAAGCAGTGCACTAGCCAGCAGCCGTTCCAACCGTCTGGCCTCCAACTGCCTTGCGCTGATACAATCGATCGGAGTCCCCAAGGCCCCACATGAAGCTAAAGATCGAGTTTGTCCCACAAGGTCGGCCGGAAAGTACACCTCTCCATGTGGAAGATGTCATGAGCTTGACCAAGCGCAAGCGCTCAGCCAAACAGGGCTCATCCCACTACGTAAGTTGGCAGACATCATTGGCGTCCAGTACCAGTTCAGCACGGAAACCCCGGAACTCTACTGGAGACCCTTGCTTAAGGGACTTCGACGCCAGTTCACACACTAAATCGGGTGCAGAATGTAAGGGAAAACCACATAGGGTCGGCGTCAATAGTCCAGGATGTCTTCGGCTCGATGGACGGGATTCAGACTTAGAGACGTTCAGTCCTAATGCCCCAGAGTGGCTAACCGCATCCACAGCCTTGCGACCATGAACACGCACCATTATTTTGGACCATGCTAATAAATAATAATGTTACATCTGACACGTATCAAGTGGCTGTGTTTTAGATAACAATCTTACTGATTCAAAGTGTTACAAAATATTGCAAGCAATAAAATGATCAGAAGAGGTAATTTAAGTGGTAAATATTGGAAGGTATGAATTACTAAATGAATGAATTAAAATATACTATCATAACAGAAGCAATATAAGCAAAGAGTATTGATGAGATTTTGATAAGAAGTCGAATATTAGGTACCGTTACACAAACATGAAGGGAACGTTACAGTTACGTAATAATAAAGCGAGAACACCAACTCTTACAGAAAAGGTACTTTAGAAAAATAAAGTGCAGTAAGTCATTTTCAACCCGCTCTAGCAATAATGTATGGGCGTAGAGACTAGGTTTGTTTTGAGTGGATGCCGATTACTTCAGTTAAACGTCAAGGATGGGATTAGCCATATGACTTTAAGCATACAAACAATTCTTCATTAACAGTAAACGAGAAAAAGATGGTGAAGTAGGGTCGGAAACGATTACTAGATAGATCGCTTTTGAGAAATTGGTTGGTAGTAGATTCCAGGAAACTTCTTTAAGCCTTTAAGTAAAATTGTTTAAAATCTCTGTATCATTCATAAAGGCGCCAATTCTAAATGACTACCGACTGATTTAAAAAGTATTTTGTTTGTCTTAATGATTTAAACTATCCAGTTGTTGAAATTCATTGTAAGCCAAATACAAAAACTAGTAGTGAAATAAGCAACAGTGAGTTATCATTTACTCCAGATACATACGAACAAATTCAGCCGTAAATACTACTGAAAAGAGAATACGAATCCTGATGACTAAAAATCGGATAATCACATCTAAATATCATCAGTTTTGCTATTTGTAATATTGAAACTATTTACACGACTATACTGTGTTTAAAACAAGAGCCGTTTGGAGTTCAACCAAAGTGTAGTGTGAAATCGATGTTCTTAAAACTTCATTCATTGAAACAAATCTGAATTGGTGTTTGAATCTTTTATTGAAATCATTTTATTAAACGATCATCAAGAAGAGAGGAGAATTATTATAACCAGGAGTAATCATTTGTCATTCATGCAAGATACCTGATAAATGGTTATTGGGAAGTCTGTATATATATGTCGAGGAATGTTATAGACCCAGTGTTTTTAATGAATACTGGTCATTTTAAAGTTATCCATGTAAACTACTGAAATGCCTAAAATATAATTAGGATAAGTAAATTGGATTTCATAATTGTCCAAGTCCTGTTTATAGTCTAGGTTTTACAAGTGTAACGAAATAGGTTACAATATGAATGTTATCATTACTATGGTGTTGTGTTTATATCATTTTTTCTAGATAAATCAAGGCAGTAGGATAGATCGGTTGATCTTTATTGTTAAAATTGAAACTGTTATTTATTAAATCATTAATTAGCCTTTGATTCATATTACTTGAGATTTTTTTCTACCATGTCACACATAATTAAAAAGAATAGCATTTCATGACTAATAAGATGAGAATGGTTTCGAAAAACGCCATTGTTTTTTAATTTATAAAACACGCGGTACGATTCTTGCTCAGTTAAACATAAGGGTTAAAAGTAAACTAGTATATTTGAAAAAATATTTTCTTTGAACAAAAATTTTTTTTTAATCTAAACAATGATTCATTGAATAATTTCATTGTCAATAGATAATTATCACAGAAAGTTTATTCAGCTGGCTTTGACAATGAATGTACAATGAGTTTCTTCTGTTCAGAAGAAGGCTGATGAATTTTTTTACACAAAGCAGAATGAGATTTTCACTTTTCTCATCTCGCAATGTTATGTGCATTATCCATTATCGATTGCCTTGGGGTAAATTTTTTTTTTTACAAACTTTGATGAATATACTCTTATAATGTTATTTCCATCAACATGTCAGTCAATATATACTTTTTCAATCAAAAGAAGTGTTTTTGTTTTGTTGTCGTTGTTGATGAAAATAATTAACAATTTGTGTGTTTTTAAAATCTCATGTTACACTAGTTTATCGCTTCTGACTGATTCACATACAGAATATCAAAGCGTCGAATCATGTTTATGAGTTGGTTAAAAATAATTCATAACCCTGCTGTTCACTAGACTAGTTGATGAATGAACTCATGTAGAGCAGTTGATAGTATAATTAATGCATTGTGTTTAAATAAATGGCATTCTGATGATATATTGTTGAAGAAAAAAAAAATGAAATAGTTTTGGACTATATCAATAGTAATAAAGCTTGTTTGAATCCAGTCTGCTTGCTAAGTGTGCCGGAAATCCAGTTATTATATCTAGTTTTTTCTTAGCGTAAGTCTTGTAAAATTTGTAAAACTCGCTGTTAATGAGTTAAGAATAGGTTTAGATCATTTAACTATTCAGCTAAAGTTATATATCAACATAATTTTAGGCATTACGATGATAATTTGCTTTTTAAACATGATAAAAATTATTTTCTTAACTAGAAAGTAATTAGCTATTTGATCTCATCTTCAGATTACAATAGACTGTGAGGTACGACTCTGAATTCATTCCTGCAGCAAGTAATACAAAGTAAGTGAAGCTATGATCTTCACAGATTTTTGGGTGGTCTTGTCTAGTTACTCAAACTTCTCATGAACTACCAAAAAGGAACATCTGTTAATTGTATTTTTTTTTCAAAAGAATTATCATAAATCAATTAGACTATTTTTTTTCTTATCTCCTTTCACCAGTTGGTTAGTGACAGTTTTA